CTCAAAATTTTCCAGTGCTTTCTCTTAGTAAATATTTTTCTTCTTCTTGGCCTCTAGTGTTAAACTAAGAACTTGGTTTTTGTCTTCACTTTTGAAAGATGAATGAATAGCGAGAGAACTGCATATGTGTAAATAAATAACCAAAACTCAGTATGATCTACAACAGTGGTTCTCAACCTTCCTAAGGCTATGGCCCTTTAATACAGTTCCTCATGTTGCAGCGAACCCCCACCATAAATTTATTTCATTGCTACTTCATAACTGTAATTTGTTACTGTTATGAATCATAATGTAAATGATACACAAGATATCTTGATGTGTGACCCCCTCTTCCAAAGGGGTCATGGCCCACAGGTTGAGAACCTAGAAATCAGTGTAGGGCTTGAGTTTGTAGAGGTAACTATGGAGCTGACTGGCGGCTGTCAGGACAGCTGGCTGCTTCATTTGCTTTGGAGACACTAAAACAGGGCCCAGGAAATAAAGGTGCGTCAGAGAGTGGAGGGTAGTCATCTTACAGAGGTTAACGGATGGAATTAAGTTGCAGAGACAGCTGTGGTTTGCCACACGTGAAGAAGTTATTCAGGTGTGGGACAGGCAAGCGTACCACCGTAGGGAGGCCAGAGCTTCTGGTCCATGGGTGGGGCCCATGGCCAGGATACACAGGTGACTTTAAAGGCTCCCACATAAGCCATCCTGTAGTTTTACCCTGATCAAAATTGAAAACCTTTTAAGTGGATGCCTCTCAGATGCCATTTTCTGTACCTTAGGAGAGAGGAAGAGCCTATTTTCCTTCTAGAGGAGCCAAGTCAGTGTAAGCATCAGTGTAAATGATTTCACCTAGTTTCTAATTCCTACTGGTTTTAGTCTCATTGTTATTCCTACTACAGTTTAACAGGCACACATGTACAGGATACATACTTACCTATTAATTTAGCTTGTTGAGATGGGTAGTTGGACATTGTTCAAGAAGGAGATAACTCCTAAAAATAACCCTTTAGTGGGACTCGCTTAATATCATGTTTTAAAGCAGTAATACGATTTGATTGGCAGTGGCATCTAATTCATCAAAATGAAGCACGTCACTGAATACACGGTCATGTGATCATCACCCGAGTGCAGTACTAACCTGTCTGATGCTCTCCTAGAGGACCGCATCTCACACAAGCTTATTTTTACACAATTGCAGTGAGGTGGTGAGACCCAAGGGTGGTTGGAGATGTGCAGCTATGTCCCTTCTCATGTCAGCTCTCCACCTCTTCACTCCGTGACAGGACATGGGAGCAGATGAGACAGCTTGTCACTCACCCACACTGCCCTTTGAAGAAAGGCCATGGGGGGAGGAAGGTGCCGCAAATGGGCTGTGAAGTTTACATACACTGCCCACTGTTAAACAGATTACGTCTAATGAAGTGTCTAATGCTCAAGCCATATCAACCTAATCCTCGGTGGCAGTTCATCCCTCAACTGCCAAAAAACACCGCCCTCTGGCCCTCTCTAGCCACTCTGGCCGCCAAGCACAGGGAGGTGCCCAGTCTTAATAAACCAAGTCAGTGTGTGATCTGACATGCAAATGTAGGTCATTGCATATGTAAATGTGTGATTACAAACCTGCATGCCAAAACACATTAGTGAGACTTTGCTCTCAGCATGTGGTTGTCACACTGCCTTAGCAATTCATGCTAATATTTGTCAAGTTATTGTGCGGACAGAAGATAGGATTGCCAGTCAGATTTAAAGTGTATGGATTAAATGGTGATGTTCCTGGTAATGAAGCTATATTTTTCGGCTGAGATTGGCGAGATTTCATCAAAAGAATGAATGATTTCTGTGTGTATGAAAGAGGGAACTGCATTTCTCGGATGCTGCAGACTGTCTGTGTGCACGCCCACACATGCATGCATGTGTGTGTGTGTGTGCTGCGTGTGTGTGTGCATGCACATGTGCTTCCATGCACATGCATGCATTAATAGGTCTTTCACATTCAGTTCATTAGAGGTTGCACTAGTGAGACCGTATGACAGTGCCATGTTTACTGGAAGTTAGCTTACAGTGCAAGGGTACAGGGTGAAGAAGGTGGCCGAAGTCTTAGAAGAGTGCCCTCATCAGTAACTTACTCTTTTACTGAGGCTTTTTGAAAGCTTAGATGTTTTAAAACCATTGGTATCCATTGAATGTATCTGAAACGGATACTTTTACATATTTCCATAGTTAAATATGTGCCATGTTGTCTTAGATGACATTTTAAATTCAGGGATTACAATAAGAATTTTATAAACAAGCAGTCTTGACAGTTTTCTAACTTTGATTTGTGTATATTTTCTTACAATAGACGTTTAAAGTTTTATTTTTTAACAGTTTCAATAAATGTGAAATTGGAAATATCTCGAATTTTCCTGAGTCGAGCTGCATAGTGTGGCGTCTCATCATAGGGGACTCTTGTGGTGCTCATGGCAGCGTAGCATGAGCTGTATATTTGGGAATCAGGTCCTGCAGGTGGGTTTTGATAAGAACTACAATGATTGTCACGAAAACTGAATTAGAGGAGATATAAACCTCTAATGTGTAGGAACAGTTACTCAATAGGCACAACAATGGAACGTCTGTTATGGTTGTAGTAGATATTATTATTTTATTATCATGACAACGTATCCTATGGTCTTTGATATAATATTTTATTTAAAATATTTTTATTATATGTTAAATTTATTTTGTATGTATGTGAGTGTTCATGTCACAGTGCATTTGCAGAAGTCAGAGGCCAACCTGAGGTTATCAGCTCTTCTCCATTCACCATATAGGTTCCTGGGATCAAACCCAGTTAGAGTCTGTGGCAAGCATTTTTATCTAATGAGCCATCTCCCCTGCCCAAAAATGGTGTTTAAAAACAGAAGAGTTGGGTTTTCAGAAAGAGCAACGTACAGTTAGCAAATTATCCCCCACCCCATTTTGAGAAAGAGTGGGTTAATGTCATGGAATTCTATAGCAGGATTTTACAGTTTCCTTCAGTATAATAAATGAGATGCAATTAGCAAGATAAAGTGTAAAGGCTAGGAGTCACTGTACTGCTCATATATCAAGAGAGACTCTTGCATAAGCCCAGGACATGGCACTGTCAGCCTTACCCAAAGTTCATTTCACGAACTAAGAGCTCGAGTTGGATGTAATTTATTTATGAGTGGGTGCCATCTTTGGATACATTAAGAGGTCTGTAATGTGCAGATCATTAGAGGGTGACTAGGCAGGGCCACTGGAATGCTGTGTTTTCCAGACTTGAGCTCATAGTTATAGCAAGTACTAAGGTATGAGACCGGTGGAAGTGTGTACTTACCAGTGATTTAGGAGTCTTGTAAACTCCACCCCCCCAAATAGGAAGCTCTCTCACTGCCCCGAAGGGCATATGATTAGTGAACAGACCATTTTATGTCATATAGAGGTAGAGTTACTAACAGGAAGCTCATAGGAGTATTCTATGACTATGGATAATAAGCTGGACAGTTGTCAACATCTGAAGGCAGTGGGTGTTCCACTAAAGCTTAGTTTTATTGTAACTAGTTGTCCAGGTGACTGTGTCCATGAGTTGAGTTGTATTAGTGTCTATCACTGTAGAGTCCCAAATCAACAAAAGAGGGGCAAGAATGGTTACATTTTGTAAGTGGGGTTTTTCTTGGGCCTCCCTTGTCACTGTGTGTCTCCCTGATACCATGGTTGCCTCTCTCACTGCAGTTTCAGCAAGCTGTTTGAGAGCGGAAAACAGTTCTGATTATTCTGCTTTTGGGCTGACTAGCAGTAGTAAAAAAAAAAAAAGTTTAGAATGGAATTATTTTACCTCTAACCAAGAGGCTATTTGCAATTAGTGGCTGCTAAGAGAGAGGCCATCTGTTTTCCTCAGTGGAATGAGCCGCATTCCAGGGCAGGCTCTGGAGTGGTTGGCCAACACAAAACGGACTTCATGGTTATTTTGTGTATGTGTTGCTGTTGTTGTTATGGTTTGGTAGTTGTTTTGTCTTTGGGGATTTTGTTTTGTTTTCTTTTTGGTTGTTTTTTATGAGAATGAGAAAGTAGGAGAACATCAAGTTGGATTAGTGAAGGGAGAATCTGAGGACCTGAGGGAAGGGGAAAAGTATGACTGAAATATAGTGTATGAGAAAAAAATAACTTAAAAAGAATGGCCAATTAAAAAAGAATGAAATGATATCTTTCACAAAGATAATAAAATATAATAATGTAATGGTGAACTTCTTGCCACAGGCAATATTTATTTATTAATTCACTTATTTATGAATTCAGCTAGTTCATTTAATTTCCAGAAGCTAAAATACTATCAGGAATTTAAAATTGTTACATGTATTAGTGGACAGATTGGAATAGGTGATTATATGTGTGTGGGGTGCTGGGGAAACAGTGTCCATTTCAACTCAAAGATTCTTTTAGAGGGTAAGGACCAAAGATTGGTTGAGTCTGGCCTATAGTATGTGAACTAAAGTCAAATTGCAGAAAATTCTTACCTAAAATTTCAAAATCCTTCTCCCCCTCTGTCATTCTCTTTCCTTGATTTATTATGTTTTTTTTTCAGCCTTCTCATTCTTCTGTTTGTTTTGTTTTTATTGGGACAGGGTTTCTCTGTGTACCCCTGGGTGTCCTGGAACTTACTCTGTAGACCAGGCTCAAACTCAGAGATCTGCCTCCCTCTGCCTTCTGAGTGCTGGATTAAAAGTCTGTGACTTCAGGGCCTAATTAGCCTTCTCCTTCTTAAATGCTATATATATTCCACTCTAATTCCTGCCCTCCACAACCCCTACCTTGTAAGTTTCCCCCAGGACTGAAGTTGTATCTTCAATTGCCTTCTATATTCTCAATGAACTCAAATACTGTTGGTGTGGGATGTTTGCACTTTACTGTAGGTAGGATCTACCATGTATACCGTATCTTCATCTACTTAAGTCATATGTCTTTGTGTATATTGTGTGATTGAAACTTTTTTGTATTATTTTTAATTGCAGAAGGCATTACGACCCGATATGGGCTATAATACTTTGGCCAACTTCCGAATAGAAAAGAAAATTGGTCGTGGACAATTTAGTGAAGTTTATAGAGCATCCTGTCTCCTGGATGGAGTTCCAGTAGCTTTAAAAAAAGTGCAGGTAAGATGATTTTAACTGTATAAGTTAATGTGAAATTGTGGTGTCTAAAAATTAGATAGGAAAACAATTTTTGAAATGATTTGGGTCATGGAACTATGGTTTGAGAATCCTAAGAAAGAACATTGTATTTTAAAAGCTGATTTTGGAGGTAATGCGAGGTAGAAATTAAGTTTTCCATGTCATCTCTGCACAAGGCCCAGGCTAAATCTGGCTTGTTCTTATTGTATATATGTGTCTCTAGTGCACAGACACTAATGTGAAGTACAATCCGTGTATGCTTATCCCTGACTAGCTTACAAATAAACGAGACTCAGACTATAGTTATTTTATTTGGCTTGACAATTACTGGGTGGTCACCCCTAATCTAATCTAACTTTTGGTTTGCCAATCTCCCCATGGTATACCCAAATACACGCTGTTTCTCTTGGCTATGTGCTCATGGTTCCTCTCCCCTCAGGGCGGCTTCCACCTCTCTCCTGTTCTTCTCCCTCTTCCTGAGTCTCTCCTCCCCCAACCACATCACTTCAAACCCTCCTACCTCTAATCTGTCCAGCAATTGGCTGTAGCCAATTTTATTTAACCAATAGTTTTAAATCAAGCAACAAGGCTTGCACATCTAAAGCTTGTAAACATGAGAAGTCACTTGTAGGCCTAGACCTTTAGGTGTAGAATTTAGGATTACTATACATAGCAAAAAAAAAACCCAAAAAACAAAAACCTCAAAATTAACGTTCAGTTTTAACACTACTCTCAGGCTTTAATATGCTGACAGCTATTCCCCCATAACCAACAAGGACTGGAGTGGTGGCAGCTCTTAAGAGGAAGAGCTGAGTTGTCATTCACTAGACATTGAAATAGAATGTCTCAACTGAAGCTCTGCATCTATTTGGTGTCAAAAAGAAGCAATTGGTTCATAAAACACGTTGCCTGAAGTCAGTGGATGGCAGTCCAGTTACATTCCCCACGGCAGGAAGGGAGAATGGTGGTGGATCTTACTTCCTTGGGGAAAGTGTTGGAGAGGAAATAAGACGATTAGCCTGTGATTTTAAGTCTCTGTGCTGTGTTAGTGTCCCAGAATCAGTTTGCTTGGCCAGTTTCATTCTTTTTAAACTTGTCAATCATCTTTCAGCTCCTCTTTTAAGTCTGGGCCTAACCATGGTATTCTAGTTCCGTTGAACATGGATAATTCCCAGGCACACCCACTTTCCAGAGCCTTGCCAAGTTTCTCCTAATGCCTATCCTCAGCCTGGAAAACACTTAGCCTTTCGTGCCAGCCATAGGCTAGTCATAGCCATTATGGAAACAAAGTTTCCATTCATATTTCAAGAATGGAAATATTAGTGTTGGGCATAGATAGCTCAGAGGGGAGAGTGCTTACCTAGAATGTGTGAGACAGTTTGATCCCTAGCATTTAAAAATATATATATTACATTTTAAATGAAAGAATGATGTGACATATGTTTAGATGATAAATATCTGTTTATAATGTCCTTATAGCAAATACTTAGCTTATGAAATAAACATTAAAATATCTTTTACTTGTACCTTTTACTCATTCTTCAAAAGTATCCATACTATAAATTTAGTGGCTGTTGAGGATGCTTACAGTTATTTGCTGGTCAAACACTTGCATGATATTCTTGTGTTTGTTTTTTTTTTTTTTTCTACCTAGTATGCATATGCAAGGATTTTTTTTTCATTTATGCCTAAAAGTAGAAGAGGTAGTCCATAGAGCATGCTTGTGTACCACAAGTTAGTTCTGGGTTGTTTTCCAAAGTTGGACTAGTTTATTTTTTCTTGGCAGCATAAGGTTGAAGCAAGAGGGTGGATGTGATCTAGAATAAAGATGTCAGTGTTTAGGAAACACACGACTCGGGGGAAAGACTATTCCTCTACGAAAGATGTTAATTCATATAAAAACTCTATTAAAGTTCCACTGTATGACTGACTACCAAGGGCCAAGAATGCTTAAAAACAATTGTGTGTTACACCCTGTGGCATGGACTCCTGTTAAATAAGACTTTGCAGAATAGAGATGTCAGTCTGAGCTGTTAGAGTTTAAGCCAGGCTATAAATGGGAGAGGTTGAAACCAGGAAGAGGAATTTGTGACACAGACAAATAAAGACTCGATACAGATCCTTAGGTGGGGCCATCCTCTTGGTTTGCAGTTCTCAAGCTGTAGTTAAAAATTCCTCCCTCAGTACCTCATGGAGAGAAGACCTTACTATTCACCAAAGGTGATGGAGGCCAAGGGATACGATTTAGGGTATTTCTTGGCTCTCTTCTTGGTTTCCACTGACAGTAAGTGTAGAAAAGGAAGCTAGCTCTCTCCTGTGATTAGTTTTTAATTACAGAGCCTTGTTAGTAGAAATGGGAGGAATGAAGGGGGTGGGGCTATTGGGAAGATGTAAAAGCTTTCTAGATTCTTACAGTAGCATCTGAGCTCTGTGTCTGTGCCTGTGCTTTGCTCTTTGTAGTTTGGAAGGTGGAGGATGACTTAGCATGCCCAGTTACATTTCTGTCCAGCCTCCTATGTCTGAGTCTGGCTGCCCCCGGTTTGCACTGTGTGCTTTGGGTGCTGTGGGAGGCTATGAGGTTGCCTCTTGTTTAATTGTTGATTCTGTGCTGTCTCCTAGTTTAAACATAACCTTGTGCTGAAGAGGCAGATGATGCCATAAGCTGTGCCCAGCTTATCTAATTAGGGAGCAAAGCTTCAAGGCTTTATGAGGAGAAATATACTTGCATCTCAGACATGTTATTGAGTTCTATGATGGGTTGCTCTCCTATTGAACAAGGAAAACCACTGTTCTTAATTTTTAAAAAGTATTCTGGTCTCCTTACAACAAAAGACTGTTGCTATCCAAGTGAGGTTCTGCTATGAAGACTTCCACACAAATATTCAAAAAATTCCTGAGGATCCTAATACTGGATTTTAAGGCCACATCACCATTCTAAGAACTGTATTACTATTCCCAACTCCGTGTACATCATTCCAGAACCCTTTGGCTATGTGATGTGTAGATGTTAAAATATTGCTTCGGTAATATCCTTGTTTGGAAACTTGTAATGGACTATTTATAATTTTATCATCTGAACCCTGAGTAGCATTCAAGGTCCTTAAAGATTTGTCCCACATCATTTCGTTCACTTACTCTGGGCCTTAAGAGCCAATGTGCTGAGTTCCAGCTATTCCCTACCGCTTTGCCTGTATCCGCAAATGGAAGGTGTGTCTAGACTGAACTTTTTGCTTTTTCCAAATTATAAAGAAATCTAGCAGCCTAAAGCACATGAGAACAGAAAACAGCCCATGTCCATTCCTTTATGGTTCATTTGCAAAAAGTAAGATGGTCTCTCTCTCTCTGTCTCTCTCTCTCTCTCTCTCTCTCTCTCTCTCTCTCTCTCTCTCTCTCTCTCTCTCTCTCTCGTATATGGTGCTCTGCCTGAATGTATGCGTGCACACCACAAAAGGGCACCAGATCTCATTATAGATGGATATGAGCCACCATGTGGTTGCTGGGAATTGAACTCAGGACATTGAAAGAGCAGCCAGTGCTCCAACCCTCTGAGCCATGCCTCCAGCCCCTGGTCAGTTATCTTAACACATTTTAAAATGGATGCTGTCATGGTACAGTCCCTTTTTGTCTTTCTAATCTACAGTTCACATTTGTCTGCAGTCTTAAAGGCTTTGTTTGTTTTCATTTAGTCATTTTTCCAGTTTCTCATCATAGAGGGCTCAGGTTACTTCTTGGGAATTTGCAGCTTTTCTTTGGAAGTTTATTCCTTACATTTCTAATGGATATATTCTAACCACAGTATTAGAAGCTTCTCACATCAGTGGGTGTATGGTTCTGGTCCCTGTGTACTCACAGTTCTTACACATTTATGCCAAGCAGCACGTCTCCACTCTCCAGCATGTTTTATGATCATTGCTAACTGTCCGACCTTCCCGTTTGCTTTCTTATTGGTATCTTCAGAGACACTGCTACTCTGGCTCCAGAAGTTTCTTAAAACTCTGCTGGTCCTCACAATTAAAATTTTAGGTTTTCCTGTTTTTTTTCAGTTCCCATTCTCACAGCTTCTTGTGCACCTGTACACAGCTGCACACCTCTACACAGCTGTGCACCTCTACACAGCTGTACACTTCTATACAGCTGCACACCTCTACACACCTGCAAACCTGTGTACACCTGTACACAGCTGCACACCTATACACAGCTGTACACTTCTACACAGCTGCACACCTCTACACTCCTGCAAACCTGTGTACACCTGTACACAGCTGCATACCTCTACACAGCTGTGCACCTCTACACAGCTGCACACCTCTACACACCTGCAAACCTGTGTACACCTGTACACAGCTGCACACCTATACACAGCTGTACACTTCTACACAGCTGCATACCTCTACACTCCTGCAAACCTGTGTACACCTGTACACAGCTGCACACCTCTACACAGCTGTGCACCTCTACACAACTGCACACCTCTACACAACTGCACACCTCTACACAGCTGCAAACCTGTGTATACCTGTACACAGCTGCACACCTCTACACAGCTGTGCACCTCTACACAACTGCACACCTCTACACAACTGCACTCCTCTACACAGCTGCACACCTCTGCACACCTGCAAACCTGTGTACACCTGTACACAGCTGCACACCTGTACACAGCTGCACACCTCTACACAGCTGCACACCTGTACACAGCTGCACACCTCTACACACCTGCAAACCTGTGTACACCTGTACACAGCTGCACACCTCTACACAGCTGCACACCTGTACACAGCTGCACACCTGTACACAGCTGCATACCTCTACACAGCTGCACACCTCTACACAGCTGCACACCTCTACACAACTGCACTCCTCACACAACTATGCACTTCTACACAGCTGCACACCTCTACACAGATGCTGCACACCTCTACACAGCTGCACACTTGTACACAACTGCACACCTGTACACACCTGCACACCTCCAGAATTATGTACCTCCATAAGGCTGTATCCTAAAGGGTAACCCTAAATAAAGTTTGCTGTGCTCCTAGTTTCATGCAATTATTTCTCCAGTTTTATAATTTAAAAGAAACCCTAGCCAGACAGTAGTGGCACACACCTTTAGTCCCAGCACTCAGGAGGCAGCCACAGGGGAGGTAGAGCTCTGAGTTTGAGGCCAGCCTGGTCTACAGCATGAGTTCAGGATAGCCAGGACTACACAGAGAAAGCAACAGCAGCAACAACAAAACAGACAAAAAATAAATAAATAAAACGAAAGAAACCCTGATGTACTGAAAATCAGACTAGCCTGTCTAAGAAGCCTGTTAAGTTAGAGGGCACCTCCTGGAGACAGTTCTCAGTAGTTATGGACTAACTGTAGACACAACCAGGTACCCAGGCACATTCTTATCATGTGCCAGATTCTTATGGAATCCATGAGCAGGAAATGGAACCCTGCCTCTTAATGTCTGGTCTGAGCACGTTGGTCAGCATGCTGAGAGAAGGCCAGTGAACTAGGGTGGGAAGTGGGTATTAAGAAGTTTCCAGCACTGGGGGATAGCTTGTCCCAGACTCACTGTGCTCAGTGCTTCCCACCCACCACATAGTTCTCTGTAGAAAGTTTTTGTGCAGAAGGTGAATTAAGGTTCTCCTTCCCCAGCCCCCCTACCCAGTAAAGGTTGAGGGTTCTGGTTGGCCATTGGGTAGCTTGAATAAAGAGGCGGAAGTTAGAGTTAATTGAGTTAATGGAGAACAGTTGAGGCGTAGTTAAGTGTGAGGGCTGAAAGAGGAGTGAGGATTTGTCACATGGAAGACAAGGCCACTCAGTTCAGGGACAAGTTACTCCATTTATTCATGTTCTTCACATTAGGAGGGGCCAGGAGATGATTTGAATGTGGGAGATTTAAAGAAAGTGTGTGTACATGTGTATATATTAGCTCAATATATATATGCATATTGTATACATATGTACACATCTATGTGTTTGAGTGTATATGGATCTTTACTACACTTTATGTATAGTTTCATAATAGTTTAATACATGCTTTTTTAGAGATGTTTCTATTAAATTACACGGATGATTCTTTTTTTAAAGATAAACCGGTATTATCTTTTTTTTTAAGATTTATTTATTTATTTATTTATTTATTTATTTATTTATTTATTATATGTAAGTACACTGTCGCTGTCTTCAGACACCCATATGAGGGCATCAGATCTCATTGCAGATGGTTGTGAGCCACCATGTGGTTGCTGGGATTTGAACTCATGACCTCTAGAAGAGCAGTCAGTGCTCTTAACCGCTGAGCCATCTCACCAGCCCCCCGATATTATCTTTTGATGGGTAAAATTTTGGGTAAAATTTGAAGATGACAGATAAACTCTTTTAAAAACAATGCAGAGAATAACAAGAATTTTTCACCTATTACTTACTTGACCACAACTAACAACTTCAGCTTTAACCAAGAATAAAATAAGTTTTGAAGCCCAAAGAAACTTAGGATTGAAAATCAATAAATGCCTCCTGTCCATATGTGTTATGTAAAATGTCTTTTTCTTTTTACAGAACCCCATATCTTTTTCTGTTTTCTGTCTTTCCTTGCTCATTAAATCACTAGGCAGCTTTGAATCCGTGCTGGGAACGACTTATTCCAAAGATTCAGCCTTTATTTATGTCTTGACATGTTGACTAAAGAAAGATAAGACGCAAATTTCCAGTTAAATCTATTTGTAAATATATTTGGTTCAGAAAGCATTGTCACATTAAATGCGCCAGGAATGAGTATTTTTCCCCAGGGTTTAAAGAACAATGTTTGATATTGTTGAAGAGTCAGTTAAAAGTAAGTCAGTTAAAAATAAATACAATTCTAAATTGGCTGAAACATAACTTGAGCTAAATATTTATTATTTCCGTATAGCCTGCATACAGGTATGTGTGGATGATTTTCAAAGGTTCTTATGCTTCTCACTCTTGGACATTTATTATTAAAATATTCATCCATTTAAGAGGCATTGGTTATTCAGATTATTTCTCTATCTCTGCATTTGTGAGTTTTCCTTTTTTTCACCATGGAGGCCACCACTCTCCTTTCTCTTTCTCTTGGGCAATTTCCCCACAGGGATTCCGTGATTACCCAGAATACTGACTCTTCTAAGAAGGCTCAGTTATCTCAGGTCCTGTGACCAGCAGTTCTAAGAACAGTATCAGCCTTCATCTTAGACAAGAATTGGTCATTTCTGTTGGTGCTCATCTGGAGATATATAAATATGACAGGGTCCAATGTATCTCAGACTGCCTTAAGACTGTAGTTGATGATTACCTGGAACTTAACAGTGTATAAGGTTCCTCTTTTCTTCAGTAAGGTGACACTGGGTACTGGATTTTAACCATGGTGGTTTTGTTTTCACCCCAGACTCTGGTGCTCATTGATAGCCAAGCTATTCCTTCTCCACTTAACCTCTAGAGAGAGTGACTTAACAACAGGCAAAACCTTCCACCAACCACTCGCCTCCTTTCCTTCTGCCTTGTGCTCTTCCAGATTCTATGTTTATTGTAAAAACTATATGAGTCACTACACTAGACAGAACAGGCTGCGCTTTAATTATTTAGTCTAGCAGGTTTATGGATGTTATGCTTGTCTAAATTTTAAATTAACATCCTCAATTTGATTTCTACTATGTTTTAAATTGGGACATAATTATAAATCTTTATAGCTTACATTGATTATTTAGTACATGTGTGCAATATGTGGTTATCAGACTAGCATAATTACTACCATTTTTTGGGGGGGGTGGGAAGATTGGGAAGCTACAAGCCCCTCTCTTTTAGTTCCTCCTTAAAATAAGATGTATAATCAATTATTATGGTATAGTTTTTGTCTTACACTATGTACTCTAGAACATTCAGAGCCTACACCTGTTATGTAACTGTTCCTTGTTACCCGTTATTCAGCCTCAAACCCTTCTTAACCTCTAGTGACTGCTGTTCTAATATACATGGGAGGTGTTTAGCATCCTTTCCCTAATTACAAAGATTCGGATTCCCTCACTACTTCAACCTGCACATCTACCTGACTGAAGTAGTAGGATTTAATTCAAGTTGTTGACTAAAAAATATCATTCATTAAAATAGTGTTGTGTGAGTAAGGTTTAATCAGCTTGCAGTATAAGAACTAAGATTTGAGGAAAAAAATTATTTTTTTACATATTTAGAACCTTGAAATTTCTTGTTTTCAAAGATATAAGAACATCCTTTTGGTTATATGTTTTTGTGTGTGTGTTTTCTGTCTTCCTTCTGTGCATCATAGCATCCCAGAAAGCCAAGCTCTTTTCTTGAAAATTTCATGCCAAAACCATAGGGTGTCTGACTGTTTATTTGTGTGTACCTAGACTTATGTATTTAACATAATACAAAATTCCACTGTGTCTTCAAAGGACCAGTCATCAGCAAGACTACAAGTCAGACCCATTGGAACCGTCTGTAGAAGCAGAATAGGGGTGTGGAGCTGGGCTGCTCGTGAAATAATTAACAGCAAATGTCGCTTGCCCTGCTGAGAACCTGTGTGACCCTTTGCCGTTCTCTTAAGTTTTGCAAGCATCCTTTTCTCCATCTACAGCGTGGGAATATTCTTTTCCTTGGGAATTAGATGGTTCATGAAATACACTCAGTATATGTTAACTATTCTATGTACATTAATAATAATGTTGATTATTATTGCAATATCCTATTGATCATCACCTTCATCCTGGCTATTTGAGTAATAAATGTGAGTGCCAGTACCCACCCAGCTGCTAGCCTTTGGAGGAGAAGCATCTAAGGTTTTAGTTGTTTTGTGTTCACATAAAGCTCCTTTGGACCTTCACAGTAAATGCATCCAAATAAAATTTTCTTCTGTGTGAGTGTGTGGATACATATATAGATGTGTGTGTGTGTGTGTGTGTGTGTGTATAGAGGGAAGGGAGAAGGGAGTATTATAACGAATTTAGCCTAAAAAAATGTAGGTTACTATTTTACTAAATAATTCTGAACTTCATTTTTAGATATTTGATTTAATGGATGCCAAAGCACGTGCTGATTGTATCAAAGAAATAGATCTCCTTAAGGTAAATAATGTTCTAGAGGCGATTTTTAAATATTTCTGAAGAGATTGATAAAAATGATTTATCAAAATGTTAAATTTCCAAGTAAAACAATTTTTAAGGCTTACTTGGCGACACACTGGTTCTAAGTAACACTGCATAAGTTAGAGTATGTGTGTTTTGAACACCATGATTTTGATTTATGATAAAATAATTGAATCAGAATATTATATAGAGTCAACTTTTTCAAGACAGAAGATACATGGGCCTAAAACACCGGAGTAGTTTTTTGTAGAGCGTTCTATCCAAACCTGTTCTACTGCTCAAGTAATATCAGTGCATATTGCTGTCATGTCAGTATGTGTCATACTGAGAACCTGGACTAACTCAGGTGCTTCATGTTTATAAACATTTTCTAAATTGTTCTTACAGATTTACACAAAGTGAATCGAGAGCCCATGTCAGGAGTTAACACTTTAGTTCCTTGTCCACCTGTAAGTGTGATGAGGTTCCAGTCACCAGGACAGTGTTTTGTTGGTGGTGATGTTCTTTTACAGACTGGCATATGCTATATTTTTCATTTGTTTTCTGACAAGTAAGATGGCCCACACTTGTGATCCCAGGATCCCTAGGAGGCTAAGGCAGGCAGAACCCAGGTTCCAGGGCAGCCTGGGCTACAAAGCAAAGCTTCTCTTTAAAGAAAAGGGAAACCTTGCTGTTTTATGCATCTGTGTATATTCTTAAAATGTATCAGTTTTAACCAAAGTATTTCAAGACTATATTTTTCCACTCTTCGCATTTGAAGTAACTGTTCTAAATACACAGACACACACACTCACATACACACACACTCGCGCACATGCTCACACACTCGTTTACACTCACACACGTTGTACATAAACTCACATGTGTGCGTATAAGCGCCCACTCACACACATACAAACAAGCACATTTATACAACTTTTAAAAATAGAAATAGCATTATTAGGGGCAACATGGAAAAAAAATCCAAATACAAAGAAAACTACCTAGAATTAATGAGAATTTCTCTTTGAGAAGTTATGCCTTGTGTTAACTTGTTCAAAGTTTGAACATAAAACTTGTAAATGTGTATGGCCTGCTACATATTTTTCTTCAAGGTGAGATTTTTTTCCCCTTAGGGATGATCTTAGTCAACTCACATAGATTGGTTTCATGGAGTTATGTTCATATTTCTTGATGTAAAAACTATACTTCAACACTGTATAGTAAATGTCAATTATGGTTTTGAGCAGTCTAGCTGTAAAGAAATGACTCTTGTGTAAGAGTAGAAGTATAAAGAGATACTTTTACAGTTTAATGTTTTTGTTTGACAGCCTCATTTTGAGCAGTTAATAATTCAGTTCATTTTGCATATTGCCTTTATATGCCTACTAGTCACAGCAATACTTAAAAAAATCTTGAGTACACTATTATATCTAATAAAAAGATTAAAGTAAAATTTATTCATATCTACTTTTACTTTGAATAATTATGTGTTTCAAAATTGACTATAAAAATAGGCTGTCAAGATATTTGTAATTTAAGAATGAGTTGCCATTGCCAAATTAAAATTATTAATTTCAACTTTTTTCCCCTTAGCAACTCAACCATCCAAATGTAATTAAATATTATGCATCATTCATTGAAGATAATGAGCTGAACATAGTTTTGGAGTTAGCAGATGCTGGTGACCTCTCCAGAATGATAAAGGTAAGTTTGTTCATTCATTTGTTTTTCTGACAGAGTTGCCTATGAAATATATAGCTGTGGCAGCTACTTTCAAGGTGGTCAGTATACTAATGGTTAATGAAGTTGCCTTGCATAGCAGAGTTAACCCTAGTTAGCTTATATTTCTAAATGCACCCAAATTACTTTGGAAGTGGGCTTGGGGACTTGTTTTCTGAAGTTAGAAGTTTTTAGCTTGTTACTCTGAGCATAGTATTCCTGGTTCTTTGTATTTGGACCTCAGAGGAAGAAGGGAGGAAAGAAATCCAAGGCTGGAGACATGGCACAGTTGTTGAAAGTTCTTGGCACACAGGGATGAGGAGCTGAGATCAGGTCTCCCAAACCCATGTAAAAAGTTGAGTATAGTTGGGGATGGAGACAGAGTGAGTCCTGGACCTCACTGACTACCCAGAGAGCTGAATAGGTGAACTCTAGGTTTGGTGAGAGAGCCTGTCTCGAAAAATAAGGAAGAGAATGATTGAGGAAGGCATTAGCCTCTGGCTTCTATACATACATGCACACCCATGCTGGAGTATCTACACAAACACACATTCCATGTCCATGTGCACACACATGTACACACCCATTGATACATATGGAAAGGAAAGAACCCCAAGAGCAGCATGAGCTCTTTCTCAGAGGACTCATCAGAGAAGAATTTGGACCTCTGACTGAAAAGCTGTTGAGCGTTCATTCTTAGAAGTTCATTAGTTGGGTTTATGTTCATTTGCAGTAATAGAAACCACTGAATGAGAATAAGTTAAAGCCTGTTTATCCTTGCACATATTACCTCTCTGTACCACTTTCTCCAAACTATAATTCACAGGGATAGTGTATTACAACTATTTATCCAACTTTTAGAATTGTGTTTCACATTCAGTCCCAGGCCCTTGACTAGAATGTGATCGCATGGACATATCTACAAGACAGGCTCCAATATATAGTCTATATTTTACTTGCTGTGCCCAGGAAAGCCTCTGTTACTGTGGAAGACAAACTGGCCAGTATGGACCCAAACCAAACTAACCAAAGGAGAAAAACAAAGGTAGTTAGAGCCTTCTGTAGCTGAGGAATCACCCACTGTCACCTCCATTTTGTCAGAGACTTAATTAAGGCTTGAAGAGGAGTAACGTCATCTTAGAGGGAAAGAGGTTAGGAGTTAGGGATTGGGGTGCCCTGGCTGGAGACTTCTAGTGTAGCAAGGATATAAAGGGACTTGAGATTGTGGTTTCCTGGCAGGCTATGTTTCAACTTCTGTTTTTTAGTGGTTTGGGTATTCTCAGCTTGTACATTGAATCTTTCTTTGGGCAGGTAGATTCTGGTAAATCATGAATAATCTGTTGCTAGTCGTTGGAAGGAGAGTTCCAAACATGTTCCTTCAATCCTCAGAAGGCTCTTGAGGAGTAAACATCAGGAGCATAAGTACCATTGCTGGTAAATAGCGGAGCTGGTATTTTTTGAAAGGTATGTTAGGTACAGTCATCCATGTGATTTCCTTTAATGGCACTCTGTACAATTTTTTTGAACCTCAGCTGCAAGTACTTGACCATCTTTTCAACCAAAGCGCTTCACAGCTCACATTCCACCACTGTTGTTTCTGACCAAGGTGCTCGGTAGTTAAGAACTCAGCTCCTGAGAGGGGCTAAGTTGTCAGCCCCTGTAACTTGTGTCTCTCAGACTCTTACAGTTCCTTTCCCTGTACGATGAGCACAGTTGGCTAGAGTTTTCTAGTTATAACAGCACTGTATAAAATGAAGTAAAATTCAGTTCCCAGCACAGGAAAATAAAAGTTAAGGTAATGTCATTATGTTATGGGAGCTGGCCCAGCACTATAGTTGACGTGAATCACTTCCAACTGGTTATCTGATTTTCTGTTAGAGTTCTTATGCTGCCAACTGCCAAAGGATTTCTTTGCAAGTTAAAGAGCAATAAAACTTTATAGTCATAGCTTTAAGGAGAAATCAGGATGTGTTCTATGTCCACATCTTGTGGACCACCTAGACTTCTGCAAAGGAAAGCTGTCTTTAGGAGGACTACAACTTATATAAAACTATTTGAACTTTTTAGGTGTCAGGGTTTGTTGTTGTTGTTGTTTTAGTTACTTACCTGGAAGTGTGATGGGAAAGAGGGTAAATCTCTGTCTCTAAGGTAGGTTCACAACAACAGGATTCTGTGTGGAATGGCCAGTACTTCTGTAGGCAGATGGGTGTAGCCTTGCAGTGTTCTCTTGAGGCTTCTGACCAAAGTTTGCAGATGTGTTTGATGTAGCAAACTGTTTAGAGGCGATCAATCAACTCCTCGTAACTTGATGTACTTCAGTAAAATCCTAGAGTTTCTGTCCCTCTTCTGCATGTGTTAGAGCATAGGCTTTGGATGATGCTTGCTTTCTTGTAGATTCTGGCAGTGTTTATCTAGTCTAGGCACAAGGCCTTCTGGGTGAAGGTTCCTAAGTCCTTTTAGATCTCTGGATCTAAAACATGAAAGGCATATTGTCAGATATCGTTGGCATAAGAGCTGTAACAAATTTTGAATAATTGACCTTATTTCCTAGAGGGTAACTTTGGATTCTGGGTATGTATATATGTGTGTGCATATGTGTGCGTGTGTGCGTGTGTGCGTGTGTGTGTGTGTGTGTGTGTGTATGAGTTCACTCTCGTAACAACATTATGAGACAGGTATTATAAAACAATTTACAGACGTGGCAGCTTTGGCTCAATTGCTGAAGAGTAAGTAAGTCAAGGTCATACAGTACCTCACCTAGAAAGCTTTTATTGCCATCAAAATTTTCCAGTCTCAGCTGTCCTGATGAAAACCATGCCTCCTATATATACATTATAGCAACAAATGTCACATAATTCTCTAATTATGAGTACTGGTTGAAAAACAGTCTTTGGTGGTACATACTGAGTCCTAAGAAGATGTAAGCCATATCCCTGCATGTGTTAATGACGAAGAGAAAAATGGAGGTGTTTTTTTGCTTCAAAAAAAGAAAAAAGAGCTATAAAATGTCATAAACTATTCAGGAGAGTAAGGTGGCAGTCTTTATGATTAAAATGTATACATCCTGTTTCTCAACAGTATCTCATAAATGTACACAAGATAATGGAAACAGACAGGTGTAGAGTTGTAACATGCTACACCAGGCTTCATACTTGAGCTTTCTCTTCTTCTCTAAGAAAGTAATAATTAAATTGTGAGGTGCCTGAGAACATGTACATACATGTTGTCATACATATATCCTTGAATTAAATCCGTGTCCAGATAGAAGACAACATGGGGGAAGTTTTATGCACATAGAATTGGTGGTTATCTCTGGAAAATATTAATGAATGCAAACTAGAGAAAGCAAATCCAAGACAATCAGGCTATTTGTATTTAAGAGAGGAGATAATCAAAAAAGCAAAGCAATGGGGGGAGGGAGGAACATAACTATGTGTACTATTGAACTACATTGATCCAACATAAAATTCTACTTGAAAAAAGACACTGTCAAGTCAGATCATCCACATCCAAATATATTACATCATTTCCCTGAAAACAACATAGGAAATTAGTCAAATCTCAAAGAATATATTGAAAAGCAAAACATACATATACACAATACACACACACACACACACACACAGAATCCATAGTGATCCACTAGGAAATGTACACACTGTACACTTATTTTTAGACCTTTACAAATACATGCACACATATTATCTGGGACTATCTGAATTTTTGATCCTCTATACATACCAAGTTGTTGTTTTTGTTTTTGTTTTTTTTTAATTCCCTTTAAGACTCTGAGTGGTACTCTACCTAACCCAGCCTTTAGTTATCCAAAGTCTGTGTGACTAGAGTCCTCATGCGTAAGTGATTGCACCTTCACTTTCCACTGGTCTGCCACGATGACCTGTGTCTGGCATCATGCTTTCCTTCTGCTCTCCTGCTAACTTACTGTTCCACAAGAGGGATGGCTATCCATCCCCCCACCTGAGTCTCTGTCCTTTCATTGCTTTCTCAGTTTAGGGCTTATCATTTCCAGTTAAGCTAGAACCATTGTACATCTTCTGGGTTTCATCTGTTACCAATGAAGTATTTTTGTTTCAGTATTCTTTTACATGTCTATATATACATACAGACATATACACATATTCCTTATTAATTCACTCATTCAAGAAATTTGTTTTCTGGTGGGGAAGACAAAAAAAAAAGACAAGTAAGTCAAGTCTGTGGTTTGCCAGATGGTGGTTAGTAAGTACAGTGCAGAAAAGCAAAGAGGGGCAAAAGGCATCAGTTAGGAGGAGGGATGCCACTATCCATTTGGCATGACCCAAGAGGGTCATAGTGATTAGCTTTACTAGCCTTGCCTCTGTCTGCTTTTACAGTCAGCCACTGTATCCAGCTCCCGTTCTTGATCACCCAGTAACATTTGGATCTGCTTTTCGGTTGCTTTTTTGGAGTACTCTTTGGCTCTCCGAGTGCTAAATGGTTTTGTTGACTGCAAACCTCTTGTTCACTGAGCTAGTCCCTTACTCTTGCCTTTGTTGGTGTTGTTGGTTGTTTGGTTGGTTGGTGGTTGGTTGAGGTAAGGTCTCATGTAGCAGGCTGATCTCAAACTCATTATGTAGCAGAGTCTGATCTTGAACTCTTGATCTCCTTGCTTCCTCCCTAGTGCTGAGATGGTCCCTGTTAGTCTCATACCCAGCCAGCCTAGACTCCTGTAGTTTTAAGTTTAAAACTGGCTTTTGGTATTTATCCACTGTGGATCATGTCCTTGATGCTTCTGGGCTCAGTTATTCTCCTCTGCCTAGAAACAGATTCATGATCTTCTGTAGCCTGCCCCTGTGTTTCTAAGCAGACAGTCAGCATGAGAGCATACTGGAGACCAGGGCTCTTCTCTGACACTTGATTCTCTCTGATCTATTTCAGTTTGTCACAGAGTTTTAACCTTTTTTTATTGTATGTTTTTCAGCTTTCTCTCCCTGTTTAGTTCCATT